TTCCCTTTTTAAGTCGATCGCACCATAAACGATGTTTTAGTTGCAATCGTTAAACCCTGACTCCCACATCCCCATTAATATCTACTTGATGGATTTGAGGGCGGCGGCGACAAGAGCGAACGTGGCTGAGGCAGCTCCACCGGGATTGAGGCGAATGTTCTGGGCACCTCCGGCGAATTCTTTTGTTACGCCACCAGTTGCTGCGATGGGAAACGTTGATGGAACCCCTGGTCGAGAGCAATCGCTTCCAAGAACCAACCTCTTTTTCTACGGTACGCGTCTTTTCTTTTTCCATCTATATCCATCGTACTTTTCATGTTTGCTCATGTTAATTTATGGAAGTATTTCTTTTAATGAGTTTGACTTGCCGGTCACGTTCTTTTTGGGTTGTTGGTAAAACTGTTTATATATCAGTTTTTTAGGTTATTATGCTGGTTTGATTGCTGGAAAATGCGGGAAAGTTCAAGTAAATCTTGATATTTGCCATGGGTTTATTAAGTGGTCATGAAATGAAACCATGAAATAATTGATATTATCTATTCCTTTAATTCATTCAAAGAAGCAATTCATCAATCTTGAATAGATTAAGCATTAATAATTTAGGTTTGATATCACTCCTCTCCCTGTTTTGGTTTTTGTAATTTAATTTCTGCAAACATATTCGTTTGTATGTGTTGACCAGTTCATATTATGTTGTAAGATAATATGAATTTGTTTTTTCAGGGCTTAACAAACGCACTTCTACGGAGACACTTCGAGAAGCCTTTTAATTTTCTTCGATCATTCTTTCTTTCTTGTATTGCTTGGTCTTTGTTTCTTTAAGTTTACAGTTGGAAGTTAAAAAGATAAAACAAAAAGAAAATATAATGACCCGGACTGGTATGTTTTCTGAGTCAACTAGGAAACCAACTCATATGTGGAGGTAGGTACCGGGGTCTTGCAGGGCGAGTTGGTTTCAGAAATCATACCATTCTTGGTCATTCTGTCCCCCCCCCCCTTGCTTTTTACCTTCCCATTGTAAGCTTAAAGAAACAAACTCCAAGCAATGCAAGAAACACAGAACGATCGATGAGATGGCCTTAGTTTTTATGATAATTCATATGGAGAATATGAAGCTGAGGAGAGGGGAGTTTCTCAGTATATTTTCTTGTATGCATTGTTCAGCTTTATGCTTCAATTAGTTCGAAATCTGTTCAAGTTGTGAGAGTAGTTGGTTAGGTTATTATTGTATAAAGAGTGGAAGTCTGTAAAAGAATGAATCTTGATAGTTGGGATATGGTGGATGACCGGGAATTTGCTGCTGGTGTTGAACAAGAGGAGGCTTCGGAAGTATTAACCGCCGCCTCCGGTCGAGCTGAGCCGATTGCTCGGGTGTTGTTATGTGGCATTCCAAGGCTGGAGGAGACTCGAAACAACTGCCGATCTGAAAAATGCACTGGACAAGTAAAGTTGATTCCTTTCGGATTTTTTTCCGAAATCGTTTTAGAAGTTTGATTCTTTATGAATTCTTTAAACCCTTTTTAATGAATTTTCAGTAGTTCTTATGGTATACTATATGAACAGTTGATTGCCTTCATTTTAGGGTTTAGGTACTATGATTGTATGTATGTGAAAATCATATAAACATTTTACTGGATCTGTTACATAATCTTTTGATTATGATTCCATTTTTTATTTCAGGGTTTAAAGTGGCAGCACTGCTCCTAGTCCGGTGTTTCGTCGCTTTCGAACTCTGAAACGACCAAATATTGTGTCGCTTACGATATGGCAGACATTTGTGCATTACTCAATGAGTATACTGCAGTTCAGGTTGTGGTCATGTCTTCTATACTTCATAGTTCATACTAGGATGCTTTGGTTTTGTGATCTTTCTTGTAATGATTTACTTCGCTTACATGTAATTACATGACATAATATGTTTGATGGTTCTGGTTTTCCTCAGTCTGCTGTTGCTTCCAATGCGGCCGATCTGAATTTATGGAAAGCTGTACTGAACAATTCAGTTGTTAGTAATTACATCAAGTCTAAGCAGACCTGTGAGAAGTTTTACTCCTTTGTTTTACTGTTTCTTCACTTATTTGATGCATCATTTACTAATTTTGATACATAATGTGTTGCAGATGACAAGTTTGAATATCAGACATCTCCTCGGAGTTCCAAATCTTCGGAGGATTATAAAGACTGCGATGGTGAAGATCCTTTTTCGGATTTTATACAGAATCAAGACTAGCGTGTTTGAGATGGTGAGTAAAGCGACGAATCTCCTCCATGGCCTCTTCAGCTTTCCCACAGCGGAGAAGGCGAAAGAAATTTCGAAGCGAACAGTATCGATAAGACATTTGGAGCTAGCTTGATGGGATTGGCAATTTTGGTCATTGTGGTAGTTCTTGTGAAACGAGGGTAGATTATAATTTTTCATAGCACTCTATGAAATAAATTTGCTGATATTTCAAACTCAAAAAACTTCTGCTGGTTTTTATACCCTTATGGATGAATGATATTGATGATGAACATTACATGATTTTTCAGTAAGTTGGGAGGATCACTCCCACAATATATATTTATTATACTTGATCTAGATGAATCAGTCAACAGATCGAATAATTTGACTTGACAAAATTTACTAATAACAAATTTGAGTTTGACAAAATTTACAATTACTGCTTGGATCATGATTATTAGTTGATCTAACATAATGAGACGTTACCGTACTTTAGAGAGTATTTATCTTAACCAATATTAATATCCACTATTCAGAAACAAGGGTATAAAATCACTCGAGCATCTAATAATTTCTGCCAGTCAGTGGAAATGGAATGTTTACAGGGGCAGTCTCAGAACGACAATGAGCAACTAGCCAACTACTGGGTTAGCAGCAGATAGTATGCTGGAGGTGATAACGATTGTCCACTGACGAGGAACAAGAACTATGATGAACAAGTATTATGTCAATTGGATCCAAAATCATGCACAGAATCCCCCGTCACTAAAACTCATCCACAAGAATTGCAATGAACATAATCAAGCGATAAATCTAAGCATTCATGAATTTTAAAAAAAAATGAAAAAGAAGATACCAGGAATTCAAAGTCGTCTATGGGTCTAAACTAAAGCATAAGGTTCAACAACCCCAAAACAGGAGAGATGAAAGATAAAAATCTGACGATATAAATAAAAAAGAAAAAAAAGAAAGAAATTTGATTAGTTTACGGCCAATTTGGCCTTTTAGGCCCTCTTTGCCACTAGCTTAAATGGATTCGCTGACATTGAAATTCTCATATTTGATTAGTTTCTGAACCCCTCTGATTGGTTTCTAAACCTCCCTGCTGCAACAGTCATATTCTTTTAAGAATGTATCAGAATCCCCTCTAGTGGTTTTGAAATCATTACGAAGATAAATATAAATGGAAATAAAGGCTTCCAACGATTATAATTCATCTCCGACGGTCAATGACTAAAAACTCATTCCACACTATAAAAACACTTCAAATATACTTGAAGAAGGTTACTACATATATCCAAACTTAAATAGAAAAGAGTTTTCATTCTCAATTCTTTTATTTTATCTTATATATAGTTTATTGAGTCTTATTGAAAACTATTGTATTCATCATTTGTGAGCTTCAATCTTTGCAAACATCTACCTATTGAAATATTTTTGTTTATCCAAATCAAACCTTGTAAAAGGGTAGTCGTTCTATTTTAGCCGTAGAAAAACTAGAGTTGTAAGGTTATACTTTATCCTTAAATATAAGAACAAATTTATGAATTTGTTGAAATCCTTGGTGGTGAAAAGCTAAGGTAGTAGATGTAGACTTTGGTTAAGAAAGTCGAACCACTATAAATCGATCTGCCCCAAAGTTTTAATTAAGTTTTTATTAAACTCTATCAAAGTCAATTCACCCCTTTTTGATAGTTTTCGGTTAATTGATTGAGTTAACAATATTGATCGAGCCAATCCACCCCTAATTATTTTGAAATGTATGAAAATTATTGTAATGTTGAGATATTTCAAAAGAACTAACTCTCACATTCCTTAGAAAAATCATAAGAACCTTATTTATAAGTCATTGTACTTGATTTAGCTTGTAAGAGTGAAGTTAATGTGATAGACTCTTGCACATAATAATTGAGTCCGAATTCTATGTATTTCTTTTCTTTTATTGAATTTACGAGATAATCTAAAAATAATAAATGATTTATTTGATAATTTTAAAATTCAACTAAGATAAAAGAAATACCTTAACAAGTAGAATCTATATTTAGCTTATTTTAGATTATTCAAACTTTTTAAAACCATTCTTAATAAAATAAAACATATATTTTAAAACACACCAAAATTGATAACGTCTCTCCTTTCACTTGGTATCCACATCACTCTTTGAGTTCGCTAACTAATCATGTAGAGGACTATTATTATTTCTAAGTCTCTCTTTAGTATGACAGAAGAACTTATTAAATTTTAGAGAATACATTATAAGATAAAATATCATTAAATATAATGTCTAGCTCGTATCATAAATCAGTTGGTCTAGTGAGATTAGGCGTTATATTCAAAATCAAGACTTTAAATGCTCACATTTACAAAGTAAATTGAGTTGGGAGAGTCGCCTCTGCTTCTGCAGTATCCGATTCAGATTAGTCGATTAGTAAATTGAAAACCGGTTGTTATAAAAAAAAAACTAATATAACTCACAATCTTATCATTATTCAATCTAATATTTTCCTTACTGTTCTCAGACCGGGGTTATATTATATATATATATATATATACAATGCAGGGCATATGTAACTGTAACAAACTCTAGCGCTTTGGATTTTCATTGTCCCCTGCATTTATTTCTCTTCTCTTCAACCCCTGTTCTGGATTCTTCTGTGTTTATTGGGAATCAGAAGAAAATATTTATATACAAATTTCAAAACGAAACAAACTGGTGAGAGCCGTTTTCCATCTTCCTCTTCTCGATTAACTCAAAGATAACAAGACAATATCTGTTTAAAACGATGGGTGTAATGGGAAGAATGAACAAATGGTGGAGTTGGTCACAGATGTTAGGCGGCATGTTGGCAGTGCAAGTGTTTGCGACTGGCCAGCAATTGCTTTCCAAAGTCATACTCACTCAAGGAACCTTCATCTTCGCCCTCATGACTTATCGGCATTTGGTTGCTGCTCTCTGTATTGCTCCTTTAGCTCTCTTCTTTGAAAGGTTCGATTTCTCGTTACATTTTCTGTTTAAAATCTTTCTTAGTCCTTAACAACACAAATTTTGTAGACACGATTGCTCGAACTCAAAACTATTAGTAAAGAAGACACTCATTTTTACCATTAAGGTTGTTTGATAGAATCTTATCTTGAGTATTCGAATGTTTATCTGACTTTTTGATTCAAGTGGTCCTTGATTAAGAGTTTGAAAATGCTATCATTAGTATTCATTTTAAGGTATTTTAAATTTATAGGTATAAAATAAATTCTTAAAATTGATTTCTTTATTTACGTATTGTACCAAATACAACGTATATGATGTATACTGCATTTGCACCAGACTGAAAATAAATCATTTCTTTGACTACATTAATATAAATTGGTTGTATATGGCAATAATGAAACGTTTTCCTAAACTGTAGTTTTGCACATATTTGAGATGTGTGTGGCTAATTGTGCAGAGAAAATTCGCAGAAGATGGCCAGGTCGACTTGGTTCTGGCTCTTCATCAATGCACTAACAGGGTAACCCTCTTTTATTCCCTTTTGGATTTCGATTAAATTAGGCTTAATATAAAAATATGTGCCTAAAGAATTTTTCGTTAAGAATAGGTGTTTAACATTTCCGACGTTACACTTTTAAGTGTCTGCTGTTAAATTCGACCGTTAAATGACACATGTCAGGCTTATATAAATTTAAAAATTTTATATGACCGAGATGTGTCACTTAACGGTAGACACTTAATAGTGTTACGTCGGAAACGTTAGACACATATTTTCAATGAAAAATTATTTAGACACTTAAAATTAATTTTAGGTATAATTTAGATACTTATATTTACATTCAACCTTTAAATTATAAAAAAATTATTGGTGTTTGCATTGCGTGGAAACTTCTTACTTTTTTACTTTATTGTTTTGCACGTTTAACTGATTAATGCTTATCAATTTATCATCAAAGGTCTAGCATATGATGTAGAATTACCCTTTTCATCATCATTCCAAATGACTTGTACTAATACAAACTTCAAAAAAAAAAAAATGGTTTAGTTATAGTTTTTTAAGTTAATTGTATCACACGTCTTGAAATTATAATCCTCGTTTTAGATTGGTCATCATACTTTTGAATATTTCAATTTTATTTTCAAATTATGTCTCTTATTCTAAATTTAGTCCTCAAACTTTTGAGCATTTTAATTTTATTCGCAAACTATGACTCTCAAACTTTTAAATATTCAAAGTTTATCTCCAAATTCATTTAAAATTTGTAACTAGTTTCAATTATATGTTAATTTATTTTTTTCAAGCATATAATAATATAGCTTGACGTAACGATTATATTAAGATGAGATGTGGTTAACATATACCGATAGTTTGTGATGAAATTAAAATGTTCAAAAGTTTGAGGACTAATTGAAAATGAGAGATAATTCAAAAATAAAATTAAAACATGTAAAAGTTTATAGACTAATTTAAATTAAAAATCATAATTTCAAAATATGTGATACAATAATGTAAAAGTTTATAGACTAATTTAAATTAAAAATCATAATTTCAAAATATGTGATACAATAATTATTTTCTTTTAATATTTAATCCGAAATAACCCTTAAATAAACCTACATTTACAATTGTAATTAGTATGATTTGATATCAAATTTCGTAATAACGTAGAAAGGTTGTTGGCATATCACAATCAAGCTTCTACATCTGCCTTTTCTCAAGAAGCGTAAACCACTTATTCCTATTTATTTTCCTTTAACAATCATACATATCTATATTATATAATATTATTTTCTTCTCACTAAATGTGTCTGTTTTGATTTTTAAAATCGTCTCATTAAATTTGATCTATTAAAAAAGTGAATAAATAGTAACCTTTATATTTTTTATCCTTATATGTCAAAATAAATCTATCAAATCTGACAATTACTGATCAGGGATAATTTTATCATTTTTCATTAATTAAATATGTCTCTTAAAACTATGTATATCCAATCTAAAATACAAATTATGAGACAGAGGAAGTATCATTCTCTAATGTTAATTTTTTTTTTTTTCAGTTCCACCTAAAATTCTGAATTCTCACATCAAATTTATTTAAAAACATATGTTTGATTAATCTAAGTTTAGTTAGTTTGTCAATTATGTACGGTTTCTCAAAAGATTTTTTTTATTAATACGTGTGTAAATATAAATTAGTGTCTATTTAAAATATTTTCAATCATTTGACTGTAAAAATTTATATATTTGTACATATATCATATTCGAACCTAAGATATCAAAAAGATAACAACAATTTATTTATTGAAGTCACTTGGTTCCTAAAATGAAATTAAAATGAACAATATTATCTAACATAATTTTAAAAAGCTGGGATAATGGTTTTAAACATTCCATTTGATTTGGTGAGATTTTTTTAGACGAAATATTAATAGTTGACAAAGACACATAACACTGGGGAAAAGGTTGATTGTTTTTTTATTACTTTATTTGTTTATTTATTTACATTTTGCCGATTGCTTTCTAATTGTTTTATATTGTTTGGTTTTCCCTACCTTTGTAATGATGTGAGCCACGAGGAACTTCCGTGGCTTTCTGATAATTTTACGAAACATAAAGAAGTGGAATTCATCAAAATATCTTATAGTTTGCATAAAAATATTCTCAGTAAAAATATTAAAAATATATTTTACTCCTCTCAAGTTCTGCTAAATTAAATGAAATTTGCAGATGCCTCTGAATTAAATGACTAATTTTAGATTATATAAATTAAAATTTGATGTGATGCATAATTTTATGTCATTTCAATAATAAAATTATGATATATTATTAATAATAATAAATAAAGTATACAAATGATTTCTCGACTGTAAAATGTTGTTTTGTTAAGTGCTATGACTACTAAAAATTATAAAAATGTTCAACTATTATTAGTTATAAAACGGTCATCCGATTATTTATATGTTCCAAATTTATCATTTTTTGTTAAAAAATTGACGGCATCTGAGCTTAACATTAATATTGACTGAGATATGATAGCTGTTTGAGATTTGAGATCAGATTTTATTATATCTTAGTCAATAAGTTAACATCCAACTCATAATTCTGTTAACTTCTTAACGAAAAATGACGAGTTGAGAACATATGAATAGTCTAGTGGCCATTTTATAACAAGCAATAATCGGGGACTTAACAAAATAACACTTTATAATTGTAGAATCATTTTGTAACTTTTAATAGTCGAGGAACTCAACAAAACACCATGCTATAGCCAAGATTATTGGCTTACTTTAACCAAAAATAAATTTAATTTTAAATTTTTATAATGATTTGCTATCATTTAATTATTGATATTGTATAGAATTAATAGACCATCAATTATAAATCTATCATCATATAATATTTAAAGAATCCTAGGATTCAAAGTTAGTTTTGTAGAATTTATAGACCTTTCTCTTAGTCCTATGATTCATGCAGGATAACAGCGGCCATGGGACTGTTTTATTATGGACTTCGAGATACTACAGCTACCTATTCTACAAACTTCCTCAACATGATTCCAATAGTCACCTTTGTTTTATCCATCATTTTCAGGTAAAAATTAGCAAATTTTTTTGTTGTTATCCCGATTTTAGGGTTTTATCCTGATTAATCTGTACCAACTCGCGTCTTACACTTAATTTTGATGGGTGAATTTTTCAATGAAAATATTTTCCATACAGAAATGACTCGAGCTTGAGATCTACTTAAACGTTATTAAACTCCTTACCTTGAACCAAATATCTATTCATTGTATTGTATATTGTAGAATTGAAAGGCTAGGGCTAGGCAGCAGAGCAGGCAAAATCAAGACGGCGGGTGCAATTTTGTGCGTGGGAGGAGCACTGACAACAAGCCTGTACAAAGGAAAAGCGTTTCATGTGGGTGATGGTCACCATTTTCACAGAGCAGCAGCCATGGACGTTTCGAATTCTCACATGACTCGTGGAACTTTCATGCTTGTAGGTAGCTGCGTGTGCTACGCTAGTTGGTATATATTACAGGTTTGATCCAACCATGTAATTCTCAGTTGTTCTCTTTGTTTTACCTTATTAAAAACATGGGTTTTGTTTTTGTTTTCAAACAGGTGAAGTTGCTCAAAGTATTTCCATCAAAATACAGGGCAACGCTGATAACATGCCTCATTGCGTCCCTACAATCAGCAGCAATAGGACTATGCATAGACAGGAGCAAGGCAGCATGGAGAGTAGGGTGGAATTTGCAGTTGATCACAATAGTCTACGCGGTAAATTTACTGATCCATTTCATCCCATTTTAAAATTGGTGTATGTTAAAATTAGAACGAATCAAATGACCTCGATGGTAAAGGAATTGTTATTATTCTTTGAGAACTTGGGTTCGGACACTATAAATGCTAGGGGTGTGAGCATTTAATGTCAAATTGTTGAGTGTTACAAAAATACCTCTCCGTAGATAAAAATTGTTAGTTAACAAATGGTTAACGCTCCAAAATAAAATGTTAAGTGCTAAAATACTCAAAAAAAAAAGAATAAGAGTAAAAATGACAATTCTAACAAACATTGGGAGGACTAATTTTGACATTACACCTTTAATATTTGCATGATATTTATATTTTCCTAGAAGAGCAAGATCTGAAGATGTTTACTTTATGCAGGGAGCACTGAGTACTGCAGCAACATTCTGCTTACTTACATGGTCGATTGCTAAGCGTGGTCCTACTTATGCCCCTATGTTTAATCCTCTGACCCTAGTTTTTGTTGCCATGTCCGAAGCTTTAGTACTTGGTGAACAAATGAGGCTCGGAATGTATGTTCTGTTCTCCTTCTACCATGGATGAATTTCTTTAAGAATACCGTAGATAGCTATTCTGAAATTTGATTACAATGGATTCATGATTTCAGAGTGCTCGGAACGGTTATGATAATAGTGGGATTGTACTCTTTTCTGTGGGGGAAAAAGACTGAAATGAAGAGCTTGCACCAGTCAAACCAGGGACCTGATGAATTGGCCAAATCAGTCCCTCAATCTGTGGAGTTCAAGCCCTTGGAGCCTGTTTAAATCATTTTCTCCATTGAACGAGGAGCTCCTAAAAATCATGATTTTGAGTATGAACCTGTTTTTGTTAGGGTCTATTTACTTGAAAATTAAATATTTCCAACCTTCCTCAGAAACTAGTCTTGGGTTCTTTATAATTTTGCTAATAAATTCAAAGGTTTGCATAGTTTTCTTTTAGGCTTAATATAAGAAAAAAATTTTCAAACTATACCTCTTTTCTTTTATCTACGTGTCTAATTTTTTTTCTCAATTGAGTAGCCTAACGTTTCCAGTCGTATCATTTAGGTGCATCGATCGTAATATACATTAAAAAAAGTTTCGTCAATCACTCAGAATGTGACAAGTGGCGCCTTTATAATTTTTAATTTTTTTTTGAAAAAAACTTAAAATTATTATTATTTTTCAAAAATTTCTCAAAAAATTTCTAAAATCTAAAAAATTCCCAAATTCCTTGATCCCAAAGCATCCACCCTACCCACCGGCCATCCATTGCCGTTGCCGCCCCCGGCCTACCCACCGACTGCATTCTACCCACCCACGGGTCACCGTCAATCGTTGCTTCAAACTCTCAAAATCCCTAAACTCAAATCCCTAAATCCAAAACATAAATCTCTAAATTCCAACACCCATTCAGCGCAATCGATAGATGGTTGGCCGACTGGCTAATGGTCGACAGGTGAGTCGATTATTGCAACAGTGGTGGTGGTCGATGCCGGAATTGAAAGTCTTGGGGCATTTTATGAAAAAATAGGAAAAGTTTGTCAAATACATATTGATTGACTTATTTTTAACGAATTTTTTTTAACGGTCGTTATGGTGTATGAACCTACATAATAACATTAGAAACGTTAGTCACCTAAATTGACAAAAAAGATGTTTAGATACCTAAACGGAAAAAAAGGTAGAATTTGAATACTTATTTTTATATTAAGCATTTCTTTTTAATAAGCCAATTCTCACATGAGAAAAAGGGTCATTAGATGACTTATCTGAGCCAATAGTACCAGCAAAAACACCGCTTACATCACCAAGCAGGATGGCTCGTATCGCTTTTGCCTATTTTCCCCCCCATTGAATCTTGTTTAGCTCCTCAGCACCATCCATCTTGGCTCCTGCAGAATCAATCATGCTCATTACCAGCTCACTGAAAACATGTGATCTTTCATTTGAGATTTGCGTTCTTAAAAGATTAGTTAAGTAAATATCAGGCGCGGCGGATCGGGATCTGTCTTGATGTGCCCATGAATTAATCAAATATAAACACATATTATAACATCCCTTCCCATATATGTCACCGAACAAGAGTCACAGATATCACATGAAACTTGTAAAATTTTTCTTATTTAAAATTAGTAAAAAATTGTTTCTTGAAAACCATTATTACTGAAGAAATAAATAATAATTCATTGAATCGCATACAACACAGTTGTAATTGTTTGACATTCAAACTAAGTCCATTTTACGGGGACAGAGCTAGAAAATTTATTTTGGGTGTCAAATTTAAAGAAAATTTACTTTTGGGTGTAAAATTTAGAAATTGTATAAAGAATTTTTTAAAGTGGATAAAAATATTTTTATATTAAATTTTAAAAAATAACTTCAAAATTTTTTTGGGGTTTCAAATCATAATAGTATGGCTCCGACAGTAGGCAACAACGCAACAGTTCATAACTGTGAACTGTAACCAATATAACTATCTAAAAACTATTTAGATTAAAATTCATTCGAATACTGGTTTCATCTAGTTTTACAATATTGTTAACCTAAAATTTATTTTCTTTAATACGAAACATACATTAATAAGACCACTTATCCAAGGCTCTAACCAATATCCATAATTACTAATATAAACTAACTTATAACTTATTACAAATTATATCTGAGCAAAGTTTATACCAAATACTAATAACATATATATGTTAACTAGTAAAATTAAATAAATCAGATAAATGTCATTACTGATATTAGAGACGCACTTATTGATAGATAAGATGTTAGACATTCCTTATTTTTATCTTTGCTTTTCAATATATATGTAGTTTTAATTTTGGTGACAGAAAGAACTTTAATTTCCAAAGAGTGAAAATAAGATTTATCATATTTAGGGTTTGAAAGAAAGTTTGAGAGGAAGAAAATGATTACCAACTTACCTTTGCTACGCTTTTAATCCGGTGGAAGCAAACTCTCCAAGGAAGGTAATTTAAATTGCCAATTTAATAAATTGGGGTAGGGTGGGGGTGAATAAATTATAACTAAAAGACACCCAAGTAACTTATTCATTATCTTTAAAAAATGGCATAATCCCAAGTTTAGTCCTTTATCTTTTCTTCTTCATCAACAAATCATTTCATAGTCCAATCATACCTTTAGTCATTAATCGTTTCCCTTGTTTTCATTTGAGCACCTAATTCCTACTTTTCACTAAAATCTTCATTTTCTTCATTTATCAAGTTTTAGTTCTCAAGCGATTATTCTAAATCAATTATTCTGTAATACATGCTATAAAATAAAATTAATATAAACCTCAAAAAATCAAAATAATTTATCGAAATAATTTTTTTTAATACAAAACGTTGAAAAAAATTCTAGATCGATTTTCAGAATGTTACATGTGATGATATTATTGTGAGCAAAGTTGGTACTCATTACATTCATGTGGACATGATGATTAAATCACTTTCTATATATAACTTCGAGCATTTCTTGACTTTGATGTTTATTGTTGAGGAACATCCTTAAGGTTTTTTTTGTGAAAGATATTGAAATTTTGTTTTTCGTCAAGATTGATATTCTTTTTATCTTGCTTTGTACTTTTAAAATATGTGTCAACATAGAGTTAGACATTATGAAACCGACTTCTATAGCCTAATCTGAAAAGTTCACAACGCTATCCACTTAGTGAATAAATAAATTGGGAAGGAAAAAGAAGACCAGTGGTGTCTTCTCCAAAGTGTGAACCTATGTCTTCTTCTTAAGAATACAGTGTGTTCTGTATTACACTCAACCATTTTGATTGTGATTTTTTTTCTTTAATTATTGTTTATCGTACCAATTAACATAAAATATTATTATCATACTTAATTTTTTAATTATTAATTTTTAAAGTTAACGGAGAATAAATTGTTTTTATAAAGTACCAATATATCAAATTTCAAAGTTAAAAGAATCTAAAAAATTCCACAAATATTATTGGGTGGGTCGGTGAGGATATGTTTCAAGGAAAAGCATATTTCTTTCGAATTTCATCTTCCCAAATATTCTGCCATCTTCCCTTTTTCTCAATTAATCATCATTCCCAAATGATTCTCAAGTCTCAACCGGTGGCCGTTTTCGGTGGAGATATGGGGGGTTTTGGTCGGCGTGAGACCGCAGTCATGATGGGAGTGACGGTGTGTCGAATGGCGATCGGACGACGGAATAATCTGAGTGGATATGGCCGACGGATGGTAAAGCTAGAGATTCGGGGTTTGATTTGGAGATTTTTTATTTTGGGTATTAAACTCGGGTTTTAAGTCCTTATATACAATTTTAATAATAAAATTTCAGAAATAGTGCTCTAGTCTAATGGTTGGGTTGTAGGTCCCCATATTGGGGGTAGAGGTTCAACAGCCTATAGTACCTAACCATTTCTTTTATTTTTTTCCTAATGACATAAAATGGGATAATTAGGGTTCAAGTTCTTGAATTTCTTACAACTTCTAAAACATCATATAAATTCTGGAAACTTGTATTTTGGTCCCAAAATTTCATTAAATTAATTTCAATTTTCAATTTTTCTTTTATTTAAAAATAGGGTTTATTATAATTCCCCCTAAAAGAAAATTTCCCTCGAAATTTACTTGGAGCAAACAGATGCAGAAACTGAGTCTTTATGAATTTCTCTATCTCCCAGGTGGCTTCTACAAGACCACGGTTACTCCACTGAACCTTTACCATCGGAATACGTTTTTTCCTCAGTACTCTCTCATCTCGATCCAAGATCTGTATAGGCTCCTCCTCATAGGATAAATCTGGTCTCAACTCAACATCTTCTAACTAAATGATGTGGCTTGGGTCTGGACGATAGAGCCTCAGCATAGACACGTGAAAGACATCATGGATACGAATGAGCTGGGGAGGAACTCGAGCTGATATGCAACTGGTCCTACTCTCTTTAGGATACGACATGTCCCAATAAATCTCGAACTCAAATTACCTTTGTGCCCAAATCTCAGCACTTTCTTCCATGGGGATACTTTCAAAAATACCTAATCATCAACCTTGAACTTGATGTCTTTTCTTCTCTGGCCAGCATAAGACTTATACCTGTCAAATGCCTCTTTCAGACGGTTACGGATGAATCTAACGGTGTCTTTAGTCTCACGCACTAACTCAGGTCCCAAAGTCTTTCTATCACACAATTCGGTCCAACAAATCGGGGTGCGACATCTACACCCATAAAGTGCTTCGTACTGTTCCACACGAATACTGGTCTGGTAGCTGTTATTGTAAGCAAACTTAGCCAAAGGCAAAAAGTTCTCCCAACTACCACGAAAATTAATCACGTAGCCCCGTAACATATCCTCAAGGACTTGAATCACTCGCTCAGATTGACCATCAGTTTGCGGGTGGAAAGTTGTACTGAAATTTAGTTTAGTACCCAGAGCCTTATGCAGTGCTTCCAGAATCTCAAAGTAAATCTTGGATCAAGATCCGAAATGATAGATAGTGAAACACCATGTAATCTAACGATTTTTTAGATATACAATCTAGCCAGCTTGTCCAACAAATAATTTACCTCCATAGGAATGAAGTGAGCTGACTTTGCAAGTCTATCAACAATCACTCAGACATAATCCTTTTTTGAAGGGGTCAAAGGCAACCCAGGAACAAAATCCATAGTGATACGCTCTCATTTCCACTCGGGAATCTTGATAGGTTGTAACAGATCCGACGGATACTGGTGCTCTGCCTTGACTTGTTGACAAGTTAAACATCTAGCCACAAAATTAAAGATGTCCTTCTTCATGCCGATCCAATGGTACCTCTCTCTCAGATTCTGG